TCTCACAGCAGTCACCCTGTGATGGATGTCTATTGATTCCAGGGTGAGATTTCAATGGGACTAATATATGGCAGGGTTTGGAAATATGTCCTCCTAAGTTGATATGTGACTCATGACAAACAGCTCTGACTTAATAATAACAAGCAATAAGTCCAGTTAATGACCATGTTAATATGGCCAGAGTTTAGACCTGTTACCAGACAAACATGTGCTGTGCAGTAAGATGGATGTAATCAGTATTAGTGGGTGTCAGCATCTGCAAGCCCCATCATGGCTTCCCCGCTTGCGTACACGACTGAGGACCGATTCCACAAAGCAGCAGAATCTTATCCAAATGAAGAATTTGTTTTAATTACCGCATATTTTATGTATTGTTTGTAACTTGTGTAAAATTGTTTTTATTTATCTCTACATTTATCATGAGTTGATGACTCACAGAATGTAAATAGGTTTCTCCAGCCCCGGATGTTTTGTTAAACATTAACAAGCTGTCAGTAGATGTTGCAGGAAGGGCCTGTAAGGCTTGACACAGATTATACCTGAGGTACCTCGCTAGACACCATAATCAGTATTCAATGACTGCCATTCCCTGACCACGTTCTACACACCATGAGGGGGTTCACATGCAGAATTTGATCCTGAGTAACCCCCCCTGTTGGCCAGTGGAGGCGTTCAACACAGGAATTAGATGGTCATGGTGGCTGATGAGGTGTTCAACCTAGGAATAAGATGGTCATGGTGGCTGATGAGGTGTTCAACCTAGGAATAAGATGGTCATGATGGCTGATGAGGTGTTCAACCTAGGAATTAGATGGTCATGGTGGCTGATGAGGTGTTCAACCTAGGAATTAGATGGTCATGGTGGCTAATGAGGTGTTCAACCTAGGAGTTAGATGGTCATGATGGCTAATGAGGTGTCCAACCTAGGAATTAGATGGTCATGGTGGCTAATGAGGTGTTCAACCTAGGAGTTAGATGGTCATGATGGCTAATGAGGTGTTCAACCTAGGAGTTAGATGGTCATGATGGCTAATGAGGTGTTCAACCTAGGAGTTAGATGGTCATGATGGCTAATGAGGTGTTCAACCTAGGAGTTAGACGGCCATGATGGCTGATGAGGTGTTCAACCTAGGAGTTAGATGGTCATGGTGGCTAATGAGGTGTCCAACCTAGGAATTAGATGGTCATGGTGGCTAATGAGGTGTTCAACCTAGGAGTTAGATGGTCATGATGGCTAATGAGGTGTTCAACCTAGGAGTTAGATGGTCATGATGGCTAATGAGGTGTTCAACCTAGGAGTTAGACGGCCATGATGGCTGATGAGGTGTTCAACCTAGGAGTTAGATGGTCATGATGGCTAATGAGGTGTCCAACCTAGGAATTAGATGGTCATGGTGGCTAATGAGGTGTTCAACCTAGGAGTTAGATGGTCATGATGGCTAATGAGGTGTTCAACCTAGGAGTTAGATGGTCATGATGGCTAATGAGGTGTTCAACCTAGGAGTTAGACGGCCATGATGGCTAATGAGGTGTTCAACCTAGGAGTTAGATGGTCATGGTGGCTAATGAGGTGTTCAACCTAGGAGTTAGATGGTCATGGTGGCTAATGAGGTGTTCAACCTAGGAGTTAGACGGCCATGATGGCTGATGAGGTGTTCAACCTAGGAGTTAGATGGTCATGGTGGCTGATGAGGTGTTCAACATAGGAATTAGATGGTCATGATGGCTGATGAGGTGTTCAACCTAGGAGTTAAACGGCCATGATGGCTGAAGAGGTGTTCAACCTAGGAGTTAGATGGTCATGATGGCTGATGAGGTGTTCAACATAGGAATTAGACGGCCATGATGGCTGAAGAGGTGTTCAACCTAGGAGTTAGATGGTCATGATGGCTGATGAGGTGTTCAACATAGGAATTAGATGGTCATGATGGCTGATGAGGTGTTCAACCTAGGAATTAGATGGTCATGGTGGCTGATGAGGTGTTCAACACAGGAATGAGATGGTCATGGTGGCTGATGAGGTGTTCAACCTAGGAATTAGATGGTCATGGTGGCTGATGAGGTGTTCAACCTAGGAATAAGATGGTCAGGATGGCTGATGAGGTGTTCAACCTAGGAATTAGATGGTCATGGTGGCTGATGAGGTGTTCAACACAGGAATGAGATGGTCATGGTGGCTGATGAGGTGTTCAACCTAGGAATTAGATGGTCATGGTGGCTGATGAGGTGTTCAACCTAGGAATTAGTTGGACATGATGGCTGATGAGGTGTTCAACCTAGGAATTAGACGGCCATGATGGCTGATGAGGTGTTCAACATAGGAGTAAGACGGCCATGATGGCTGATGAGGTGTCCAACCTAGGAATTAGACGGCCATGATGGCTGATGAGGTGTCCAACCTAGGAATTAGACGGCCATGATGGCTGATGAGGTGTTCAACCTAGGAATAAGATGGCCAAGTAAAACGCGCCCCCCTCTTTTTTGTTCTGCTAGGCATTGTTTTACATGCAGGGATTAAGATTACCTTGTGTACTTTCTCGTAAACTAAGCCGGAAAAAGCAATCAGCTGTACGCACGCTTCCTTGGAATCGACTGGTGATTTGGTTAAAAATTTACCCAATGATATAACTTTAATGGATTTTGATGCAAGGATTGTGGAAAATTGTATCTGAAACTATTTTTTTATCAGGCATAATTTATTCCAGTATCATGTTATTTTATTTGCAGCTTTTTCCAAATGTATTTAAAATAATAATAACCCGAAGCGATTGCCGGATATTTTTTTTCACATGGAACAATTTCACCAGTCACCGTTGAGGCTCCCACATTTGTGATCGCGAGAACTACATGTTGACATAGAATCGTCAAACTGCAACAAATATGACTTTTAACGAGTCAAAGTGAGGCACTTATGATATATGTATCCATTCTCTCCCAACTAAAGTTCATTTCAAGGCATCAATAGCGGTAATCTGACCGTGGTTGCTCTAAATAACTGCGATCTGCTAAATTGTGCTATCTTCGGACACATGATTTCGACGAAATTAATTAATAGTAAATAATAAAATAATATTAAAAGAAATTTTGAATAAAATTAATGCGATAAGTTACAAACATAAGTCCAGATAGACAATGAACACTTTTTATAGCCTGGCAGTGTAATTACAAGATTACATTGTGTACTCCAGTACGGATTTGTTGACATGGTATTTCCAGTGCTACGTGCTCACGGTAATGTCTCCGTTGGGGGGGGGAAAACATCAAAACTCATTATGGCGTGTATAATACGCACCCCCTTCTACACAGCTGTGTATTTTTGGAAAAAAATGTGCACTTTACTCAGAAAATATGGTTGTCCACAGTTAATGTAAGGGATGCATGTTTCATAGTGTAGGCAAAGTGCACTAAAAACCAGCTTGACTGTAGGCGATCGGCACTGTATCCGCAATGCACTGTAGGCAAATAGAAATGGGACCATCATTGATTTCTTTTTAAAACCAATCATTAATCTAAAAATTACCAATACAGCTCATTGCACTACCTCTTACAATGCATAACAAATAGCAGCAATAGTGTTGCCTGCATCATAAGACAGGCACTCACTCACACAGTTGCAGAGAGGAATCTCGGAGTAAGGACTTGCTTGCTTGATGCCAGTTTGCAATCGTCAATGTGCTGTTCATATCAATAATCCGAGCACTCAAATAGATCAGTAATTGTTTGTGATTGTTCTATTTCTCCGCACAAACAATTAAATAAGGCGGTGACTGAGCTCTCTGCGAGGTGTTAGGAATACATTGAGCCAGGCGTACTGACGTGATGAAGCTTGATGTACGACCAACAATGTCTTCCTGCTGGGAGCTGGTGTGTGCACATGCTGCCCTGTCTGGATGTCATGCTGATTGAGGTAGCAACGAAGAATAATGTTATTTCAGAGATTGGGCACTGATAGAACTAGGCCCTGTTCCACCAAGCCAACTTAGCACTCTGACTGTTATATGTCTGTGTTACATTACGGAATTGATGATCGCCTTAGTACTAAGATGGTTTTGTGGAATTGGACCCGGTGTTTGAGAAATATTCCCTTCTTGCACTACCAACTATTGAGGTATCGGATAAGTTGATTTTAAATGTTCTAGTTGTCCCAAGGATAAGTTGATTTTGAGTGTTTGAGTTGTCCAAGGATAAGTTGATTTTGAGTGTTCGAGTTGTCCCAAGGATAAGTTGATTTTGAGTGTTCGAGTTGTCCAAGGATAAGTTGATTTTGAGTGTTTTAGTTGTCCAAGGATAAGTTGATTTTGAGTGTTCGAGTTGTCCAAGGATAAGTTGATTTTGAGTGTTCGAGTTGTCCCAAGGATAAGTTGATTTTGAGTGTTCGAGTTGTCCAAGGATAAGTTGATTTTGAGTGTTCGAGTTGTCCAAGGATAAGTTGATTTTGAGTGTTTGAGTTGTCCCAAGGATAAGTTGATTTTGAGTGTTCTTGTTGTCCGAAGACAAGTTGATTCTGAGTGTTCGAGTTAAGTAAATTTCTCTGGAAACCTGTGAAGATCCAGGAAAGAATAGGTCTTCAGCAGCTCATGCTTGCTGTAAAAGGCAACTATGCTTGTCATTAGAGGCGACTAATGGGATCGGGTGGTCAGGCTCGCTGACTTGGTTGATGCATGTCTTAAGATTCCAATTGCTTGGATCGATGTTCATGACGTCAATCACTGGATTGTCTTGTCCAGACTTGATTATTTACAGACCTCTGTCATATAGCTGGAATATTTCTTAGTGCGGCGTTAAATAACAAACAAACAATCATTTATGTCAGTTGAGTTGATTCTGGAATTGTAAGAGAAACTGATGGTCTGGTGCCCACTTGTAGTTTGAGATAAGGGCTGTGTGTGACTCTCAGACAATGTCTCTAGGCATTAATTGATAAGGGTAATCATTGCTATTTGTCAAGCAGTTGGGAACTGACAGCCTCTGGCTTATGTGTGTTTCATGCTATATTGCAGATACCTTTCTGATGCGAGCGAGCTGATTGGATGGTGTGCCAACATACACATGACAAGTTGTCTCCCCGATGTGGTCATTATAGATGATATCGACCTGTATGCCAGTGATATCAAGGTATTATCAGTGTATTCATCATATTTCAGCTCATCAGTTATTCTGCATTTGTTTTAGATTTCTTTCTTGAAAACCTTTTTACCTGAAGTCAAGATGACTGAAATAGTTCTTGATTTGCATCAGGTGTATGATTTTCAGAGTTTCACTAGGCCATAAATTCAGGACCATAACTGCAATCGGTTTAAGTAGCCTTCAAGGCAGCGTTAGAAATTGGCACTAGTCCTATAGTCCTTGCCAAACTGCCCAATGGTAAAGGTATCATAAGGACTAGTAGAAATTTGGCCTTTTTAGGGGTTTTGCTATATGTTATCATTATAAGGACTAGTGGACGAAAACTGTAAGTTTCTAACCCTGCAAGGGCTTGTAGTTTAGGTTGTCCGTCAAGTTGAGTGAGTGAATGAGTGAGTGAGTGAGGGTCAGGCACATCAGCAACGATAGAAACTAGCATGTTTAGTCCCCTCGTCCTTATTATGATAACATACTGAAAAATTCTCAAAAGTGGCGAATTTCTACTCGACCTTATGATACCTTAACCATTGGGCAGTTTGGAAGAACTACAGGACTACTGATAATTTCTGTCGCTGACCAGTGGTTGATAGCATGAACAAAGTTTCACTAGAATGCATGGTACAGTGACATGTTCAACAAAGTCACACACTGTGACCACACAGTCCTCGTTTACTTAACCTTTCTGACCTTTATGGAGTTCTGGGATCTATTGCTCTCGCAATCTATTGCATTCGTCACCACTCGCCCCTTTCCGTAACCTGCAAGAAGACTTGTCCCCCTATCGATGAATGTTATGTGCGAAAATACGACAAACCAATCAGAATGCGCGTATGATTTCAAGTTCTTCGTCAAAGAATCCCTCAGAAATAATTTTTGATTTTACATATGTCTTGCATCTAAAAGTATACCCAAGACACAGTTAAATGTGTTCAATCATACTGTATAATTCCGCATGTCCAGCTTTGCTTTTAATTGCATCTAAAATATGTATAATATATGGGGAAATATATGTGAACCATTACGCAACGAGTTGACAATTGTTTTTGGTATGCCCGTTTGCGCTAAGACGGAACCCAGTTGCTATTCGGCTTGTCCCGGAATAACACGAGTTGGTCACGAATGTCATGGCTGATGTAGGTTCAGGTTTGTAGCTGATTGCGTGTTGTCTGTCAACTATCAGTTGTCTCTGTCTGGTAATGTTTTGTGTCAGAATTGAGGAATGAACCTGGAACTTTAGCACAACTCTGACTTCAAGAAATTTAAATTTAACATTTGTTTTAAGTATAAACAGATTCTTCAATTAAAGGCATTAAGTAAGTAAAGGTGTAAATATAAGGGGGGAAAAAACTCCATCAGTTTGCATAAAATAAGTTCCCCTGTGTCTTAAGGGCACACTTAAAAATCACACTTGTTTTGAGAAAAATACTTTGTGATGAATTTTATGATTTGAGAGGGTTGACAACTAGTAAACTGGACAAACTCATCCAAAATGATGAATATATGCACAGCTCATTGAACAGATTTTTATATAATTGTTATTGGATAGTGTTGTTCTAGATAGCACTGTTCAATTCTAAGGGACACACTAAAACAATCTTAAGAGAGCCTTTTGGACCATTTAAACAAAGCTACAATTTTATCCCTGGAATGTCATTTAGCCCCTCAGTTAACTAATGCATACTCATTGTGAGGGAGACCGCCTCTGCGGTCTAATGGTAGAGCGTCCGCCTGGAAAGCGGAAGATGCGGTGTTCGATCACCGGCCAAGCCATACCAAAAGACGTTAAAAGATGGTACTTGTTGTTACCCTGACTGGCGTTCGGGATCAATTCTAGTGGTAGAGCGTCCACTCGGAGAGTGGAAGATCCTGCGTTTGATCACCGACCACGTCATACCAAAAGATGTTAAAAGATGGTATTTGTTGTTACCCTGTCTGGTGCTCGGCATTAAGTGGCTAAAACAAGGACTGGTCGGCTGAGAGTCAGTATACAGTGTCTGAGTGGGGTATTCATGTTAAACTGCAGCATGGTATCTCAGTGAGCTAGCACTATAAATCGGCATCAGTCCGGACTAGTACAAGCAGCCACACACACACACACGTGCATGCATGTCGCTATATAAGTGCAATAATCTTGGACGCGACGTTAAATCCCATTTCACCTCACCACTGTGTTTGCTGACTTTGATTATTCTCATGTGGCCCCTGCCCCTAAGACCAGCAGGTAGTCCACCACAGAGTTGATGACCCAGCATCAAAAAAGCTTGTACATCCTTAAACCTCCCTTGATTCCACCCATGTGCAAAATGTGTTCACTGACAAGAAGGCTTTATTTTAGTCATGCATAAGCATAATGTAATCTCTACATAAGGTTCATTCAGAGCCCTTGTCCCCCTCCCCCGGCTTCCATTCATGTTCACTGCTGTCCTCTAGATGGTTTCTGGTGTCAGAAAATATGTCACATCACGTCCTCATCCCCTGTCCTCATCCCCCGTCCCCATCCCCCGTCCCCATCCCCTGTCCCCATCCCTCATCTACTTTTCATGTTCACTCCTGTCCTCTAGATGGTTTACACTGGTGACAGAAGACTACAGTAGCAGACGTCACGTCACACCTCTATCCCCTAAGCCGGTTACTGTACTTTTCATGGCAACTCCTGTCCTCTGGATGGTTCACACTGGTGACAGAACGTCAGAAGACTACAGTAGCAGACGTCACGTCACACCTCTATCCCCTAAGCCAGTTACTGTACTTTTTATGTAAACTCCTGTCCTCTAGATGGTTTACACTGGTGACAGAAGACTACAGTAGCAGACGTCACGTCACACCTCCATCCCCCTAAGCCGGTTACTGTACTTTTCATGTCAACTCCTGTCCTATAGATGGTTTACACTGGTGACAGAAGACTACAGTAGCAGACGTCACGTCACACCTCTATCCCCCTAAGCCGGTTACTGTACTTTTCATGTCAACTCCTGTCCTATAGATGGTTTACACTGGTGACAGAAGACTACAGTAGCAGACGTCACGTCACACCTCTATCCCCCTAAGCCGGTTACTGTACTTTTCATGTCAACTCCTGTCCTATAGATGGTTTACACTGGTGACAGAAGACTACAGTAGCAGACGTCACGTCACACCTCCATCCCCCTAAGCCGGTTACTGTACTTTTCATGTCAACTCCTGTCCCCTAGATGGTTTACACTGGTGACAGAAGACTACAGTAGCAGACGTCACGTCACACCTCCATCCCCCTAAGCCGGTTACTGTACTTTTCATGTCAACTCCTGTCCTCTGGATGGTTTACACTGGTGACAGAAGACTACAGTAGCAGACGTCACGTCACACCTCTATCCCCCTAAGCCGGTTACTGTACTTTTCATGTCAACTCCTGTCCTATAGATGGTTTACACTGGTGACAGAAGACTACAGTAGCAGACGTCACGTCACACCTCTATCCCCCTAAGCCGGTTACTGTACTTTTCATGTCAACTCCTGTCCTATAGATGGTTTACACTGGTGACAGAAGACTACAGTAGCAGACGTCACGTCACACCTCTATCCCCCTAAGCCGGTTACTGTACTTTTCATGTCAACTCCTGTCCCCTAGATGGTTTACACTGGTGACAGAAGACTACAGTAGCAGACGTCACGTCACACCTCTATCCCCCTAAGCCGGTTACTGTACTTTTCATGTCAACTCCTGTCCTATAGATGGTTTACACTGGTGACAGAAGACTACAGTAGCAGACGTCACGTCACACCTCTATCCCCCTAAGCCGGTTACTGTACTTTTCATGTCAACTCCTGTCCTATAGATGGTTTACACTGGTGACAGAAGACTACAGTAGCAGACGTCACGTCACACCTCTATCCCCCTAAGCCGGTTACTGTACTTTTCATGTCAACTCCTGTCCTATAGATGGTTTACACTGGTGACAGAAGACTACAGTAGCAGACGTCACGTCACACCTCTATCCCCCTAAGCCGGTTACTGTACTTTTCATGTCAACTCCTGTCCTATAGATGGTTTACACTGGTGACAGAAGACTACAGTAGCAGACGTCACGTCACACCTCAATCCCCCTAAGCCGGTTACTGTACTTTTCATGTCAACTCCTGTCCTATAGATGGTTTACACTGGTGACAGAAGACTACAGTAGCAGACGTCACGTCACACCTCTATCCCCCTAAGCCGGTTACTGTACTTTTCATGTCAACTCCTGTCCTATAGATGGTTTACACTGGTGACAGAAGACTACAGTAGCAGACGTCACGTCACACCTCAATCCCCCTAAGCCGGTTACTGTACTTTTCATGTCAACTCCTGTCCTATAGATGGTTTACACTGGTGACAGAAGACTACAGTAGCAGACGTCACGTCACACCTCAATCCCCCTAAGCCGGTTACTGTACTTTTCATGTCAACTCCTGTCCTATAGATGGTTTACACTGGTGACAGAAGACTACAGTAGCAGACGTCACGTCACACCTCTATCCCCCTAAGCCGGTTACTGTACTTTTCATGTCAACTCCTGTCCTATAGATGGTTTACACTGGTGACAGAAGACTACAGTAGCAGACGTCACGTCACACCTCTATCCCCCTAAGCCGGTTACTGTACTTTTCATGTCAACTCCTGTCCTATAGATGGTTTACACTGGTGACAGAAGACTACAGTAGCAGACGTCACGTCACACCTCTATCCCCCTAAGCCGGTTACTGTACTTTTCATGTCAACTCCTGTCCTATAGATGGTTTACACTGGTGACAGAAGACTACAGTAGCAGACGTCACGTCACACCTCTATCCCCCTAAGCCGGTTACTGTACTTTTCATGTCAACTCCTGTCCTATAGATGGTTTACACTGGTGACAGAAGACTACAGTAGCAGACGTCACGTCACACCTCTATCCCCCTAAGCCGGTTACTGTACTTTTCATGTCAACTCCTGTCCTATAGATGGTTTACACTGGTGACAGAAGACTACAGTA